ATCCATTATGATTAAAGCAAATGCGCGTAATTCGTTGAATCTTTTATTGAATATTCTGTATGATTTCATGATGCTGAAAACGGAAAATTTCAGCAAATTTACCCAGTAGTTTATTTCTCTCTAAAATATTAATTAAATTTGGAGATTCTGAAACATTGCAACCAAGAAATGTCCCTTCTGCACTCAAAGCCTCAATAGAGGGGCTTATGGTGGACAAGGCGCGAACAAGTGTAGTTTTTGATATTTCGAGAAAAACGTGTTTGAATTTTCGAAATTACACAGATCCTCATGGTGGAGAGTAAGTTCAAACTGACTTTTTATGCTTATAAAAATTAGAATTTCTGAGCGAATTTCTTAACAGAATATGCATTAAGACTAATCCTACTGGAAATCATTAATATCTCGATTTTTTCAAAAACTGCACTTATGCGCTATGTCCTCCGAGCACCTCAATTACTGGATAACTTGGAACCCCAATTTTTTACAGAATTTCATTCGCAATTTTATCTGAAATATCTACAAATCCAGGAAGAATACTAATGATTTTATTCAAGAAAATTCGTATCCGGGGAAATTTGGCAACGTTCAATTGTTCATACGGCGTTTTTCTTTAGCTTGGTAACGTGGATAAGTGATTGATCCGGGAGAAAACCCGATATACCATTGTTTGCATTTGACTCTAGGGTTGATGCCGCGTGCCATGGGGATTGAGATGAACTTTGTTTAGGAGCGACTCTGATGTTTGAAAAATAAATTGGATCGTTTACTCCGGAAAAAGGTTCAGACCTGATGCGAGGGTAAGCTGGTTTTATCCAGGAAATATTGGATAACTGCAAGGGGAAAATATCTGTGTTTCATAATTTCTCGCGTTCGAGCAGTAGAAACGAAAGTTCTCCCAATGTGTAGGATGAAGGTACTAAAAACGGTGCGAAATGCTAAAAAAACGGAATGAATGTATTTCATGTGACTTACTGTGCACTTGTCGAAAACATCGAGCCGAAATTGCAGATAAACCTTTTTTAAAAAGTTCAAAGACCGAAATAATAATTTCGAATGGCCCAAATGGCGGGAAAATGATGGAAATTGTGTATTACGACTGGCAAATCGCCATCTCCTCTCGTTTTCCGCACCGACGTTAGTTAAAATAATTCGCATTTTAATGTGGAATTGTTGCTTGCTTACAATATGAATGAGATTCGATTCTTTGATTCTGCACTGAAAAAAAAAAACTCGGTCATATGAACGTTAACGTTAATCAACCGAGGGGTTTTAAATTTGCGAAGAAGTTGCTCTTTTCAACTTCGCGTTCTTAATGGAAACATCGTGTTTTTATCGTCATTTTCCTCTGGAAAATTGTAATCGGGGAACAACACCATTCAAGAATCGTTGGGACGAGGTGGATTATCATGTTCGATCGAAGGCGCTCCAAAAAGTTCTCGAGGACACAGGAAATTTAATGAATACGGCATATAGAAACGACATGCTCAGAGCGCCTTCAATTGACGATAATACCCTGCAACACATCGGTGTTTGATTAGTGGTATTCCGAAAACAGGCAGGTTTATGGTTCAGCAACACACTCAAAATCTTCAAATGCGACTTCGTGCAGGATTTGCAGTGAAGCACTCCACAAAAATTAAACGCATCTCCCTGAATGATATGGAAATGAGGCACTTCCGAACCTGAATCAATGTTTGGGCTGACCGAATCCAAAACATTCAAAGCAACCGTTTGACAAGATGGAAATACGAACATCCATCACTTGCTACTGAACACCCCGCGAAACATTCAAGCTTCCTTCTCGAAAAAAAAAAAAAAAACTTGAACTGCACATCTCATTTGGAAAAACACGGGCGAAGAAAGACATAATTGCAATGGGACCCCTACGGAGTGTACGTCCTTTTTCAAATAAATTCAACAAGTCGTAATGTACAACATGCACCACCCAGACTGCCGTGCTAAGGAAAAACGTTGTATGAGCTCCCGAGTGTTGTCAAATTATCCCTTTTTAAAATATGTTTTAGACGGAAGTTATGCAGATTCGTCTTGAAATTTCCAGATACTTTAGCGTGCTAAGTCTGAAGAATGGAGCGTTTGCAGGTGTCTGAAATTTGATGAATATCATAAATTCAAGAAGAAACTACTGAGTGAGCTCAACACGAGGATACTTTTGGTTCTCAAATTGAACAATTATTGGAGGAGATTTGATAAAATGATCTAATCTGGTAAAATACAAGTTTTTAAATGGAAAGTGCCGCTAGAATACGTCACTAGATGGTGCATTTTCTCACTTCTTAATCTATTTTTATGAATATTTCTCAAGTCAGAAAAAAATTACAAAAAAATATTGTAAAATCAGCTCTTTAAGCACTTTCAAACTTAGCAATAGAACATTTGCGTTCAAATTTGCAAGGACAATCGTACAACTTTCCCAAAATATTCGCCGTTCGTCGAAGTAAATTTGACACACCACAAAAATTAAACGCATCTCCCTGAATGATATGGAAATGAGGCACTTCCGAACCTGAATCAATGTTTGGGCTGATCGCATCCGAAACATTCAAAGCAACCGTTCAACGAGATGGAAATACGAACATCCATCACTTGCTACTGAACACCCCGCGAAAGATTCAAGCTTCCTACTCGAAAAAAAAACTGGTTCCAGAGGTACCCAGAGGTATTTCTCAAGTCAGAAAACAATTATGAAAAATACTGTGAAATCAGTTCTTTCAAATTTAGCAGTAAAACATTTGCGTTCAACTTTGCAAGGACAATCGTACAAATTTCCCAAAATATCCATCTTTATCAAAGTAAATTTTGCAACGCCTGTAGGTTCTTACGGCGTTTTCCCGTAGCACGGTAAGGTATCTCTCGATCCTCAGGATTTACAGACGTCTAAGACTTCGAGAGCCCGCGAACTCCTGCCACGTGACATTCGCTCCCTCGCCGTCATTTATAATTTAGCCGAAGCTTCCCGATCAACGCGGCAGTCAACACCATTGCACCTTTGAGGTTTGAAGTTCAGCCCCCCTTGATGCTCTATAACGGCACATTACGACTTCGGAGTCGTTGAAAATTTAAGCCGGGATCCTGCTAACTTCGAGAGCGACCGCAAGATAGCGCCTCTGAGGATCCAAGTTGGCACTTCCGAGCTCACCTGCCGCCGCGTCTTGAGACGAAGCGACGCGGTGGTCTGTCAACGGCAAAGCAGAGAGAGTTGTTTTTAAACAGGAGCAAATCCATTTTCCAGATGAGCCTCGCAGTGATAGTATCCTTATCTAACGCAAGGCTCATCAAGAAAATTGACTTGCCCCCTCTTAGAAACAACCCGTTTGTATGTGTTTCCGAAGTGTCGCGTTTTAACAGGAAATATGGAGATTTGGGCGAGAAACTTCCTTACTCTGAGAGAGGTTGGCGGTTGGAAATGGAGCTCCATTAAGAATGGCAAATTCGTGATTGAGCAAGCTGATTCCTCATGGAAATTTTGGTGTACGTTAATTTTGAGGTGTAAAGACCGTGTCTGTCGCAGGCAATTGACAATCGCCAACAAATTACAATCTATTTGTGAATGAAAAAATACAAAAATTTACAAGTAAAGATACAGACGGAGGTAGGAGAGATGTAATCGGGCCTTTTTTAAAACTTTTCGCCCGAATCCGAGCGACACCTCATTGATAGAATACAACGGAGCATTGCGAGTTCACACCTCGCGCCATCGCGCCTTCAATTTTACAGATACAACACGGACACGGACATCCATCCAGCACGAATAGTTGTATCTCCGCGCCGTCATCAAAACTTTCATCGTCAAGGACTTTGAACACAACATGAATGAATGAAACATCAAAAATTTTAGTGTACGTTAATTTTAAGGTGTAAATACCGTGTCTGTCGCAGGCAATTGACAATCGCCAACAAATTACAATCTGTTTTTGAATGAAAAAATGTAAAAATTCACAAGTAAAGATACAAGATAGAAAGTACTGATTAATATGCTTGGAATCCGAACAGACGTTTTGTCTCTTGAATGCACAGCACCAGCTAGCACAATCAAACGTGCATGTAGTAAAATCTTCGACTTTAGTTGGGCTTGATTCAGAGAGGCAACTAAACTAACTCCCTGGCAAAGCAGAGAGTATCGCCGAACTTTTCTCCCGAACCAGAACGATAGTTCACTAGCAGCCGAGGGTGGAGCATCGAGAGCTCACGTCTCACGCCATCGCGCCTTCAATTTTGCAGATACAATACGGACATACATCAAGTACGAATAGTTGTATCCCTGCGCCGTTATCAACCAGCGACCTTCCCTTTGCTCTATTTCCACGTTGTGTTGGTTCCGTCTGTCTTATCTGTAGTAGTGCTTAAATGGCTGCGTGAGCAAAACAGACGGAGGTAGGAGAGATGTAATGGGGCCTTTTTTTAAAACTTCTCTCCCGGATCTGAGCGACACCTTATTGGCAGAATAAAACAGAGCATTGCGAGCTCACACCTCCGCCATAGCGCCTTCAATTTTGCAGATACAACACGGACACCCATCAAGCACGAATAATTGTATCTCCGCGCCGTCATCAAAATGAGTCCTTTCCGTTACTCTGTTTCTATGTTGTGTTGGTTCCGTTTGTCATATTTTTGTAGCGGTGTTTAAAAGTGTGTGTTTACGTGTTGAGCAACACGCAAAGTTTAACTTGGATTGCATTTGTTTGCCTAACTCAGCATCGGGTGAAACAAATTGGGAGAAGTGTCAAGCTACCCGCACGACGGTTTTCATCTGAAAACTTTAATTGCCCCATGAAATTTGGCAATAGCTGATGTGACTTGGTTCCTTTCTGCCTAGCGCGGTCCAATCTTCATACAGATTTTACCCTCAGCTCAGAAGGAGCCGCTTTGAGCACTAATATCTGAATTTTAGGGAAGATTATTTAACAATGCCTCTGACTGACGAAAATCACTTGAATTTTGGTAGATTTGAATGTCAGAAACGTAATTTTTTCTTGTTTCAGTGAGGACGTGCTCAAGCAATGAATTCGCCTGCGCAGACAAACGATGCATTCCGAAACACTGGGTTTGCGATATGGAGAACGACTGCAGTGACTTCTCTGACGAAAGACCTGGACTATGTCGTAAGTGAATTCTCCCAACCAAAAAAATTCTTGTATCCGTCTCGTCTGTAAATTAAAGTGTCATCGCCTGGAGAAAAAGACTTGGTTAAAGGGACCAGGCTAAACTTCAGTTCATATTTGGATTGCATTTTGCAAAAAAGAACCACTAGCATTGCAATAATGCTAAGATTGTGCAACTTCATCCTTTGCACTAAAATTGTGGAAATTGTGAAAAACTGTGAAATTTAGATGGTAATTTTTGTCTTAAATTTACAGTTTTTAGCGAGTAAAATAGAAACAATGACGGGATAATCGGGTTTTTCCTCCAAGACAAAAGAAGATGCACAATCTTAGCAACATTGCAATGCTAGTGGTTCCTTATTGCAAAATGCAATCCATTCATGGAACACCTCAGTTTCCGGACGTAAACACCGAACTTCGTTTCTATGAAGTTTATACTCCGTCACACAGTGGATCGGGTCAATTTGAGAAGTCAGACATGAAATTTTGGACTGAAACGGCAAATTGTGGTAATTATTTCGTCACATTTTAAATTTCAAAAGGTGCATATAGATGAAAATTTCACGAGAAAACCAATGGAACCACTTTTAGAACCTCAAAGTTTTGTAAAAACGGAGTTATAAGCGTTTAAAATTTCCAAATTTTGTCCTACCTCTCCTACTGACTCGATCCACTGTGCGCTACCCCGAGTTGCTCACACTCATACAGGATTTCCGGTGGTCTGGAGAGCCGGGAAAATCAGGAAAATTCAGAGATTTTGCGACGACCGGGAAATTTCAGGAAATTCGTGGGAAAAGCCAAGGAATTTTTAAACATCTACTACATAATCACTAAAGCATATTACTAATCTTCCAACTGTTTACCCCTTTTGGTCATTTTTAAAGCTCTTCATCTTTTAACTAGTCACTTACTGAATGCCTTTTTCCATAATTCGATCTCCGAACAAAGAAATTTTGTCCGGATTTTAGCAAAAGTTTGCGTATTTAAAAAAAGGGGAATTCTGTTCAGACGTCAGGAAATTAGAAAATTTTGAAGTCAGGGAAACGTAAAAACAGTCAGGGAAAAATCAGGGAAAGTCAGGGAATTTGAAGATGAAGAAATCATGGCAATCCTGTCATGTGAGGTAAATCAGATATATTTGAATCAAAAGAAAGTATGCTAACTGGACTGCATTTTGCAATCGGCAACTCCTATGTTTAACTCATTCGTAAAAGCACGTATCTGCATGTGAAAACTAGTGGGAAATACGTTGTTTCTAAAATGAGCCGAAAGTGGTGGTTCCGTACTGAAAATGTAAGTCAATTGTTACACGGGCTCTGTCATTCATGTATTCTAATGAGTCTTCAGGACCAGGTCACAATGAAGGTAGTTCATTTTGATTTAAATGCGTCCAATCGAACTATTCACGCTTACTGTATATCGACGGTGAAACTGCCAAACCACGTATCTCGTTTGCGGTGTTTAAAAATCTACGCTCGCATTTTATTTTATTGAAGTAGACCAAATCAATATCATTCCTTGAAATTTTCACAGAATTTTCTCTGCACGAAGAGGAAAAATCACAGAAATTTTCAAGACTGGACGTTAAGTAGTTTTTCATTTAAAAAATAAAGTATGACAGGAAGTCTGCGACGTCGCAAACCGAGATACGTGGTTTGGTAGTTTCACCGTCGATATGCTTAGGCGCCCGCAGAAACCCCAGAATTCTCGCCTTATTAATTTTTCCGGTCGGGGCCAACCGCACTCGCCCCGCGAATTTGCAGTGGACACGCAATTACTGTACCAACCCTCGGACTGGAACAATTAACCCCCTCCTCCCTCACCATCCTGAATTCCGATGAACGTTCATCAACATGACGTCGGTTTCGAATGTTTTTGACGGTTTCCATTGGTGTTCTGCACCTCGGCAGGCATCAATCCAACCCATCCAGTCCAAAATTCAAAAGAAAAATTGAGAATTTCATAATTCATGGTGATATGTCCTTGCAAAGTCATTGGAAACCTGAAAAAGTCGGAAAAGTCGGGATATTGTGCTGCGAAATTCTTTCTTCCGGCTGAAATATGTAATTCATTCCGCAACAATTTTGATGATACCGCAGTCATCGACGAAAATTAGAGCTCTGCCTTTAAGTTGTCGAATCAGTCTCAAGAGACATCCCGCTCAGTGGCGTGGCGTGCTTTGCGATATATCGATTGTTCTGTCATTTAAATCTATGATAAAGAATCGATTAGTAAGGTGTTCGCTGCGAACACCCTGTTTATCGATCCTTTTCAATAGGTTTAAATGGTATAACAATCGATATATCGCAAAGCACGCCACGCCACTGGATTCCCGCTCTCATTCTTTGGAGCATTTTATGCCAAGAGAAACATTAAAAAGTCGTCGGAAAGTCATGGGATTTTGAAGTCAAAGAAAACTTGTCATCCTGTTAAAATAATGTCATCTCCGTCGCTCATATGTGAAGTCAAGATTTAGGGAGATCATTCGCAGGAACACCTTAATATTCGATTCCTTACCGTAGCTTCAAATGCGGTGGCGTGGCATGCTTTGCGATGCATCGATTTGACTGTCATTAAACCTAGAGTCCCGTTATACTGAGAGTCAAGACAACACCCCCCATGGAGTCACAAACGGGAATAAAGATTACAGAAATTGAACGTTTTTCGTAATCTTTGATCGGCTCATTCTCAAATTCCTCTCTCCGTTCCTTCTCTCATTCCGTTTGTTCCTTGCCGAACCCATAATTCCCTGGTCCTGTTTGTGGGTTAATTCCCTTTTGTGACACTGTGAAGGCCTAAAATACGGGAACCAATCAGATATGGATTCACATTGCCTTGACTCTCAGTATAAAGGGACTCTAATTAAACCTATGGAAAAGGATCGATAAACAGGGTGTTCGCGACGGACACTTTAATAATCAATTCTTTACCACACCTTCAAATGGAGAAATTTCGATTATCGATGATTCACGCCTCGCCACCTTTTAAATGGGGAAATATCGATATGCGATCATTCACGCTTCGTCACTGATATGCGCAATCTCTGCCCTTTGGCAACCCTCGTATTCCGCAAGTGTAATTTTGACTCAATTGTACCGATTTTATTCCAGACCACGTAAGTGCCAAAATTGCGAACGAGAGAAAAACAAGAAAATCTGTTTTATTCGCTTTGTTGACAATCTTCGAATTCCAAAAGAAACATGATCTTTTAGGAGGCTATTTTGAAATCAGACATGTTTGATTATACCAGAGAAAGCTAAGAAAAAACAACCCCTCTACCGCCAAAATATAGAGATTGGCGCTTAAGTGATTTGGACCTTAATCGGCTTAATTATATTTGACCTAATCGATGCGATATATCGCACGCCAGTTCGACCACGCCGGTAACCGTGACAAATCACCTTAAAACCTAGCATTTTGTTCCTGAGTATTGGAAAAAAAACACTCTGGATCTAGAGTCCAGAATCTTGAAAACATCCACAAGAAAAAATACTCTTGATTCAATCAGATTTAAGCTTAAATCAAGAACCAAGTCTCTTAATTTGAGCGGATTTCCTTCTGATCTAAGCTTCAATCTGATTGAATCAGAGTCCTTTTTCTTGTCAACGTTTTCAAGAGTCTGGACCCTAGAGTCCCTTTATACTGAGAGTCAAGACAATGTGAATCCATTTCTGATTGGTTCCCGTATTTTAGGCCTTCACAGTGTCACAAACGGGAATAAAGATTACATTTTCATCGATTGCAAAGATTATAATCTCGAATGGACCAGGGAATTGCGGGTTCGGCGAGGAACAAACGGAATGAGAGAAGGAGCGGAGAAAGGAATTTGAGAATGGGCCGATCAAAGATTACAAAAAACGTTCAGTTTCCGTAATCTTTATTCCCGTTTGTGACTCCATGAGGAGGTGTTGTCTTGACTCTCAGTATAAAGGGACTCTACTGGACTCTAGATCCAATGTGTTTTTTTTTTCCAGTGAGCACAACGCAATGGTCCGAAAAAAATCACTTCACTCCCCAATTTACGGACCCTCCAGAGGTAGGGCTCATCTCTTCCATTCGACCCGATCGTCAACGAACCTCGCCAACCACTCGACCCTCCAATTATAAGGGACGTGCGGCTGAAGGCCGGAGCCTCTTTGGCAAACGCGGTGCGGGGAGGGAGGGGGGAGTTGCGAAAACAAGGACGATGACACTTGATTGGCGATTCCCCATTTCGTGTGGACGGGGTGACGGGGTCCCCGTCCCTGCCGAAAAGCCAGCGGGGAGGGGGTTTTTAAATGTCAAGTGTCAACTTGGACGTTTACATTGATAGGGGTTGATTGATGGGCAAACACTAAGCTCATCTGGACGCGCTGTTGTATGCGTGGATTCCGCGGGGTTTCCTTTTCCGGTGTCGGAGTCACGTACCTTCCTGTATGATGAAGGCGCACTGGTTTTGTCAAAGTAAATTTTTAAATGCAACTATTCCTGCTCAATGGACGCACTGGAAAAAAACACATTGGATCTAGAGTCCAGCCTCTTAAAAATATTGACAAGAAAAAATACTCTTGATTCAATCAGATTTAAGCTTAAATCAAGAACCAAGCCTCTTAATTTGAGCGGATTTCCTTTAGATTTAAGCAAAAATCTGATTGGATCAAGAGTATTTTTTCTTGTTAATGTTTTCAAGAGTCTGGACTCTAGATCCAATGTGTTTTTTTTCCTAGTGCGTCCTTGTTGCATACCCGAATAAATGAAGGCAATTCGGATTTTTTTGCACTTGAGAATTTCGCAACAGCAATGTGCTCTGTTTTGAAGAGCACTCTTGACTGTAAACGCCCAAAAAAATCATGGAAAAGAGTTGATAGATGAGGCTTCTAAACAAAACTGTTTTACTGGAAAAAAAACCACATTGGATCTAGAGTCCAGGCTCTTGAAAACATTGACAAGAAAAAATACTCTTTTTTCAATCGGATTTTTGCTTGAATCAAAACAAAATCCGCTTAAATTAAGAGACTTGGTTCTTGATTTAAGCCATATTCTGATTGAATCAAGAGTATTTTTTCTTGTCGATGTTTTTAAGAGTCTGGACTCTAGATCCAATGTGTTTTTTTTTTTCCAGTGAGAGATGAAAATGTGCGATGGACCCTGAAATTTTCAAAAGATGTATAGTCTGCACTCATCTCGGGAGGATTAAATCGTCGTAAAAAAAACTCAAACGGTGCAAATTTGGCAACGTCGAAAAACAGGTGGCTCTAAAGCATTTACTATGCTGAAACAGTGCCGGTTTTTTTTCTATTCGCACATAACCTCCAATTTGACAGCGACGCTGAATGCTGACCCGCGGTTTGTCCCCCGAAACTCGGCGTGAATAATGATGAGAATGGGACTTGCCCCGGAGGAGGGGAACAAGGGTGATTTCCGATCATCGAGTCGCCCCCCCCCCCCCCCCTGCCCGAGGGTTGATTAATTACAGGACGATCGACTGAATTGCGGTCTCGTGTAGGCTGCAGAAGTTGTGACAAGAATTAGGGCTGACGCCAAGTGAAGTGACTGAGCGATGCAGGAAGTGATCGGTCGGGCCGAGCGAGGCCGAGAGCCGCCGGAAACGGTATCACTTGTTGCGTCTCGTGTAGTTGCAGGCGCTGTAAAGGTGTATTTACGACGGTATGAGCCGAAATATTGACTAATATTACAGCCGGACCACATTTTGCAATAAGGAACCTCTGGCTCATTTGGATTGCATTTTGCAAAAAGGAACCACTAGCATTGCAATGATGCTAAGATTGTGCAACTTCATCTTTCGCAATAAAATTGCGGAAATCGTGAAAAACTATGAAATTTAGATGGTAATTTTTGTCTTAAATTTACAGTTTCTAGCGAGTAAAATAGAAACTACTAATGGATAATCGGGTTTTTCCTCCAAGACAAAAGAAGTTGCACAATCTCAGCAACATTGCAATGCTAGTGGTTCCTTTTTGCAAAATGCAATCCATTTAAGAAACAACCTATATGCCATTGATTTCTCAGTGTAGAAATTTGCCAGAGAAGAAGAGACAGAGGCAGTGGCTCCTTATTGCAAAATGTAATCCAGCTAGGCAAATAGTAACCAAGGGAAATTTTTCTGTTGGGCGAACGAGGCTAGGGACGCTCAACTAAATGGAGTTTTAAGAGGTAAAATCTAAGGATTTTGAAAGGAAAACATGCCACGCTTTTTCTAGTTACGACACTTTCTAGTGGCATATTAACTCTGTCGCACTAAGGAAGAACGCTTTATGAGCATTCACATGTTGCCAAATTGCCTCTCAGAAAATATATATTTTAAAAAAAGGCTATATATATTTTTCCCTGAAATTTTCAGACGCTCCAGATCAAATTACGAACAAATTTTTTTGAAAAATCGCGCGGAAGAAAATTTTTTTCAAAATTGCCGGGAAACTCGTGTTTTTTCAAAGGAGATTTTGCAACGGCGGAAGGCTGATACGGCGTTTTTTCTTCACTGGAAAAAAGTCTTTCGGATCTTGAGTCCAGACTCCTAAAAAATTTGACAAGAAAAAATACTCCGAATTAAATCAGTATTCTGCTTGAATCGAGAGTCAAAACTATTAATTTAAGCAAATTTAATTTTTATTTAAGGAAAAAACCAATTGAATCAAGAGTACTTTTTTTCAAATTTTTTAAGAGTCTAGACTTTGCGATCCAAAATATTTTTCTCCAGTGTTTGTGCGGCAGAACTATATATAGTTGAATGATCAATCTTTTTATTTTACTTCATCTCGTCTGTAGTTTGAGATTTTATTTTTTGCCGTTTAGTTGTGTTTTCGGGGCATGAGCTGATACTTTTTTTGCGCTGTTGCAGAGGCCAAAGTGTGCGGCGTGGACGAGTTCACGTGTCGCTCGACGCCAGGCGAGTGCATCCCCCTCACGTGGATGTGCGATGATAACCCCGACTGCTCCGACGGCTCCGACGAGAAGAACTGCAGTAAGTACACCAAAAATCTGAAAAACTCTCAAAAATTCAACACAAAATTCTCATTACTCTCTCTTGCAGACTTCCATTTGGACGTCAGTGGCGTGGCGTGCTTTGCGATTTATCGATTGATCTGCCATTTAAACATATGGAAAAGGATCGATAAACAGGCTGTTCACAACGAACACCTTAATAATCGATTATTTACCATAGCTTCAAATGGGGGAATATCGTTTATCGATCATTCACGCCACGCCACTGGTGGACGTATTTCTTCCAAACGGAACTATGTGCATTGAAGTGAGCTCTGTTATGCATATATTCTTAGGGGTCTCAGGGCTGATGTCTTAGTGCACATAGTTCTTTTTGAGAAATGCGTCCATTTAATGGCCCCTATCGCACACGAGAGGTAAACTACTTCTGTGCTAAGGAAGAACGCCGTATGAACATTCGAGAGGTGCCAAATTTCCCCGGATATAACATGTATTTTTGAGGAAAGTCACGCATAGTTTTCCTTGACATTTTCAGATGTTTTAGATTAAATTGCGTTCAAAATTGTCTGAAAAATTCAAGAAAAAATATTCTCAAGTTTTCCAGTAAATTCATATTTTATTGGAGGGAATATAGCAACGTCTGAAGGCTCATAGTGGGAATATTTCTCCTTGAAAGGACCCTACAACAAACGGGACCTTGTATAATGCCCCCAAAAGTGGGTCAAAATTTAAAACTTTATTAATTTCATACATATATTCTAAAAGCTCTCATTTTTCTGGAAATTTTGACACCAAGGTCATCTTTCTACGACAAACTGTTGAGAAGTCATGCTACTTTAAAGGTTTTGACTTTTACCCCCCATCCCTTCTTTTCCCTGGGGGTTAGGCAAAAAATGTGACCAGTTTTGAATGTCCGGGAAGACCCTCTTTCATTCCTGAGAAAATCGTAGGATTCCGTGTTTAGGCCGATTTGGCCGTTTTGTTGTAGGGTCCTTTTCAAACTTTTTAGATCAAATTACGAAGGAAATCTTCTAAAAAATCGGAAGAGAAATATTCACACATTTTCCTAAAAATTCGTGATTTGTCGCGGGAAATTTGGCAGCGCCTGGTGGCTTATACGGGGTTTTTACTTAGTACGGCAGTATCGGCACTCCAACTGTACCATTTATGAGCACGTCGAATATACGGTGCGGTGAGAAAAAAAAATCGAGCGTCGTATTCCGTAAACGGTTCCGTTCAAACGGCTCAACTTGAGATGGCAAGACGGCGAAAGCATACAAAATTAAGGGTCGGACGGGGACGGGAGACGAGCATCGGGCCTGAAACTGCCGTCGAAAGTACTCACAGTCTGCAAATTCGCAACCAATCACCCGGCGAAAAAAGGCGCGAGAGATCCGCGAACGCCCCGCAGTGGGCCGAGTCAATAGGAAATTGGACAAAATTTGGAAACTTTTAGAGCTTAAAACTCCGTTAATGCAAAACTTTGAGCTTCTAAAAGTGGTTTTATTGGTTTCTTCGTGAAATTTTTTTTCAGAAGAACCCCTCACAGGGTTGCCACAGTCAGGGAATACCGGGAAATGTCACACTGAAAAAAGATTCTCGGCGTTTTTACCAAGGTCCGTTAGTACCTTTATACCATCTCACTTTTTTTTACCAATTATTGGTAATTTTACCAAGACAGACTGGTAGACTTACCTGAAAACCGGTATTTTTACTGGTTTTTTTTCAGGTAAGAATACCACTTTTATGGGTAATCAATTCCCGGTAACTTTGCCATTTTATCTCGATAATTCTACCTCAGTCGATAAAAAATATTGGCGCTTTTACCAAGGTCCAGTAAAATTACCAAGAGAGTTCAATCATTTTACCGAGATTTCTTGGTAAAACTATTAATTCCATAAATGGTAATTTTACCAAGAAAAAACTGGGATCAAATAGAACCCTGAATTCTCGGTAATTTTACCCGTTTCTTAGTAAATACACCGAGATTTTTTTTTCAGTGCAGAGAATTTTAAAAAGTCAGGGAAAACCTGGAAATGTTAGGAAAAATGACAAAAGTGTCAGGGATTAATTGTCAAATCGACTTCATTTGCTTCCTCCAGTGAGTTTGACGTTTTGAACAACAAATTTCGCCCGAAAACCATTTCCAACTTAGTCTTTTTAAAAATCCGGCATTTTTCCAACCGTCAGGGAATTTCACTAAAATGTGTTAGGGAAATCATGGAAATGTCAGGGAATTGAATTTTTTTAAATTCTGTGGCAACTCTGCCCTCAAAGTTCATTTTTTTTTTTTTTTTTTTCCTTACTACTTCAAATACCACACAAGTGGTAATCCTAACGAAAAGCTAATAAACGTCAAAATTTGCCGTCAAAAATTTTTTGGTAATTTGACGAAATAAACGTCAAAATTTGCATTTTTAGTAAAAAATATCATGTGCGACCCCTCTGATTGACTGGATCCACCGTGCGGTGGAACGGAACGACCCCGGCCGCCGAGGCAATTCCATTTCCCTCCCCGACTCGATTGGGGTGAGCCGTGAGCGAGGTCGTCAAAAGGGGCGCGAGGCGGAGGGGGGATGTTATCGGGGCGTAATTGGCAATTAGTAATCTCGGAAGGAAAAGTCGCGTGACGGAGCTCGAGACGGCATCGGAAAATCGCGCCTTTTCGCCGGCCGACCCGACCGCCATCCAGCGCGTGCCGCGGTTGCCGCGTGCCGACGCCTTCGTTTCCGTGGTTATGCTAACGGCATGACATTCTAGTATGGGTGGATCTAGACACCTTGAACACGGAAAAAATAGTATTGCAATCCGAACTGTACTCCGAGCTGATTTTGGCGCCAGATATTAGAATAGTTGTACAAGCCAGAACTGTAGCTGAAAGTGTGGTTGGATCAACTAGAGTCCCTTTATACTGAGAGTGAAGACAATGCGAACCCATTTCTGATTGGTTCCCGTATTTTGGGCCTTCACAGTGTCACAAACGGGGATTAAGGTGATTCGATGGACGCCATATTATGTGTCAGAACGGCATGCGATATATCGCATCAATTGGTTCCATTTTTGTAGCTCTACTCGTCATTTTTCTCAAATTTTGAGATCGCAATTCTGTTGTCAGGAGACTGAGCTACTCACTTACCAATTTTAACAAAGAAATTCAACATAATAAAGGCGTGGGTTTTTTAGAGAGAAAATATAGCATTCGAGTGCAGTTTCGATACCATTATTGAATTCGATGTTTTCTACCTAAAAAAACCACGCCTTTATTACGTTGAATTTGTTCGTAAAAATTGGTAAGTGAGTGATTTAGTCTCCTGACAACAGAATTGCGATCTGAAAATTCGAGAAAAATGATTAGTAGCTGAAAAAATAGAGCCAATCGATGCGATATATCGCACGTCGTTCTGACACAAAATATGGCGTCCATCGAATCACCTTAATAGTCAGCTGAAAGTGTGGTTGGATCAACTAGAGTCCCTTTATACTGAGAGTGAAGACAATGCGAATCCATTTCTGATTGGTTCCAGTATTTTAGGCCTTCCCAGTGTCACAAACGGGAATAAAAATTACATTATCATCAACTGCAAAGATAATAAACTGGAATGGACTGGAACCGGAAGCGGAGATTTTGAAACACCGCAATGGAAATACGCGATGTCGCACTTCAATCATCGATATTTTGTGAACATTTCCAGTGATGATTTGGTCACATTTTAAAAATAAAACAGGAGCAAAGATTCAGATACTCGTTTATGCAGTTTCACCGTCGCTTTACCTTCTTCCAACCAGCAGGCCGATTATTCAAATTGATACACAAAAAAGACAAAAGTGGTATGGAGGGATCCTATTGGTGGGAGCGGGTGGTCGTATTTAAAATTGTAGTAATCTATTTAGAAAGTGAAAAATTTAATGATACTAACGAGTTAAAAAACGCTGACTCGGCGAGTTATACTAATCGCGCCAAACACAGTGCGGTCGAGGCACACTAGCGCCTACGAGACTGTAGGAATACTTCACGCATTGCGCGTAACGCATATTAGCTCCTGCAAGACTGCCCGAATACTTCACGCATTGCGCGTTCACTGCGGTGCGCGCTGTAATCGCTGGAAATTCGTAATTCCTCGGTACCGGACCTACCGCGGTGTACTCAATTTCCGATCAGTCTACACCTCGGGCCTGCAATATTAGAATCAATAAATCGTAGAAATTTTGCACCCCTGAATGGCATCTCAATAATCAGCCCGCAGAGTGACTACTTTAACAGAGCAGGAGGGCGATTATTGAAATTGATAGACAAAGCTATAGACAAAGAGGACAAGAGAGACATGGAGGGATCCTATTGGTGGAAGTGAGTCGTTGCAATGGACAAATGAGGTAGGTAATAGACTAACTAATGGCAACCCAGGAAAGACCCTACAGTTAGTCCGTCATTGTTTCCTTTAGTCTATAGGAACTACCTATTTCAACCAATAAGATCGCTCCATACTCCCCATGTCTTTTTTTTTAATAGCTTTATCTATCAATTTCAATGATCAGCCCGTAGGGACGAAATATTGTCTTTGCCGTTGCATACTTTTTGAAGCGGATGTCTCAAAAATTCCCCAATTTTTCACGCAAAGTATGGAATCAGGGGTGAATTTTAGACCTTCTCACTACCAGAACCTTCTCATTGTGACATGTCAACCATTTTCATGACAACAATATTTTCTTCTTGATCCTCGGAGAGAACCTAGTCCATCATTTTCTCCTATAGAAACCACCCATTTCAACCAATAGGATCGCTCCGTATTCCCTATGTTTTCTTTGTCTATAACTCTGTCCATCAATTTCAATAATCAGCCAGCTGTTTGTTCTTTAAAGTCCGGTTAACGCGAAGTGAGATCAAAAGTGATGCTGAGATCATCACATCATCTCTGTTTCGACTGGTTTTCCCTCTAGACTAATTGAAGGCAACCTAGGAGAGACCATGTAGTTAGTCCATAATTTTCTCCTATAGAAACCACCTATTTCAACCAATAGGAT